GTGTGGTGGGAGGTTGGGAAGTTGGAGGAAGGAATGGCTGCAGAGTCTGAAGCCTGACTGATTGCTCTTTGTCAGTAAAATCCCCTTGCTCCTTCATCCTGTCTAAGGAAATGAAAAAGTTTTTACAGGACACTCAGTTTAGAGGCCAAGCCCTAGGTAACACAGACAAGAAAAATGGTACACTCCTCTACAATTCTAATAAACGCCTGTAAGTTTCTAAGAGGAACGGTTCAGATTGAGGGTGACGACTCCTATGCCCAGAGACCTTCCCTTGGTCTCAACTTAAAAAGACTGGAAGCAGCAGGACAATAGCTGATAACAGTTACATCACGAAGCCCTGTTAAATCTAGGAATTAGACTAGACAAAGAACTATATTCCCTCATGGTGAATTTCAGAATCACGTGCATTTGCATTCCAAGCACCTAGCAGAGTGCCAGCCCCATGGTAGGAGTTCAAAATGTTGAAGAACAAAAGGAAACTAATGGTACACGTATCACTGGGCACATCTAACAAATGGAGCTAAAAAATCTGTTTTCATGGGAATATTTGGGTTTATACTGTCTGGATCTAAGAACAGGAGAAAATGAGATATGGTCTTTCCAAGGAAATATGAACCAATAAATTTGAGATAATTCCCATCATTTTTAAGTCATCCGTTACGTGTCAGGTGTAATATCTCATTTAATCCCCCTCATAACCCTCGAGGAAACTGAAGTGTAGTGAAGTTAAGTCACTTCCCCAAAAACATAGCTGGCAAGTGACAGAGATTTAATCTGGGATTTAATCCCCGCTTGTCTGACTCCAAAACCCACATATGCTCTTTTCAATACACTTTCACAGGGAGGGAAAAAAGTCACTACTGTCCAGAGAGAAAGCCCTACAACCTTTCTCTTTATTATTGTCCAACTAGAAGGTTAGAGATATAATCACTTCCAGCTCAGGCAGGACTTAACGAAGCAGAAAGAAGTGATGTCTCAGAAATTCCAGACCTACATTCTGTATCCCACACCCCTCACTATATTGTGTTCCTTGTTACACTATAAATCTGGAGCTCAGACTCAGGAAATTCTGCACTGATTAAACAAAAACAACAAAGAAGATCCTCACATTCCCCTTCTCAGAAACCCTAGAAATTAGGCATCTGTAAGATAAAGATTTCTAATGGAAATAGGGTTTCTGCCTGGCTCATTTCCACAGAATTTAACATTGAGAGAGCCAAGGCCTGGGATTTATCCTCAGTTCCTGGGCAAGGGCCAGGAAAACAGAGCCAGACAGACAGAGAGGCCAGAGTTGTGAGGCTCCATACTAAAAAAGACACCAAAGTGAGGTCCTAAGTCACAGGAAGGTGGTGTGGACTCAGTGGTACGGTTCCAGATTTAAAAACACAATTATAAGTGACTTGTGAAGGCACTACCTAATTCCCCAGCAAATCTGAGGTCGCACTGGAAATTTCAGGGTGAGGATAAGTAAGAAAAGAATTCAAAAGTCAAGATTAAGGAGGTGGAGGGGCACCTGACTGGCTCAGTTGGTGGAGCATGCGAGTCTTGATCCCTGGGTTGTAAATTCGAGCCCCACATCAGGGGTAGAGATTACTTAAAAAAAATAAAAATCTTAAAAAAAAAAAAAGGTTAAGGAGGTGGAGTAAGTTAAGAGGGGAGCCCAGGAATTGCCGAGATCACAGAAGAAAGATTTGAGAGAGTATGAAATGAGAAATGTCTTGGATCTGACATAAAGGATGGGATCCCACACAATGGGGACTGGTCCTCAGAGGCAAAAGGATGTTAAGCTACAGGAAGAATTCCATTTCTGAAGGAGAATCGGCTGGGAAGAAAAGATGGTTGTATTCGTAAAAAGGGGTCCCTGGAGAATATAGTAGTAACTCAATAAAGGGGAAGGGGTGAGACGTGTGTAAGAGCGTGTGCCGCTGTGTGTGTGCGTGCCTGTGTGTGTGCGTGTGTGTGTGTGTGTGTGTGTGTGTGTGTGTGTGTGTAGCCCAGAAGGAAACTCCCCGAAAGGAAATGCATGTGAGGGCTCTGCGCCAGGAAAAGCGATCCAGAGGACTATGGGAGCAAGGCTCCTTTACAGCGGGTGCCCCGCAGGAGGCCAGACCCGCAGACTCACCTCGGCCATAGCCCTGCGTGTGCTTGGCGAAGCTCCTCACCACGGCCTCCACGGCCTCCCGCAGCACCGCGGGGCTGCCGGCGGCGCCCGGGGGCAGCGGCAGCCCAGGGGCCCCCGACAGGAGCAGGGGCGGCGGGGGCGGTGCGGGGGGCGGCGGTGCGGGCGGGGGGCCTGCTGGGGGTGTGGCGGTGGCAGCGGCGGCCCCAGTCACTCCCGGCCGAAGCGCTCGCAGCGTACCCCTCCCGCTGGTGCCCACTCCAGGCTGCAGCCGCTGTGCTCGCATCGTCTCCATCCCGGCCGCCAGTGGAGCAGCGGCCCGGAGCCTGCCAGCCTGGCGAGCTAACGGTCCCAGCCACCCCCGCCAGCGAGCGCCCAGGGACTGAGGCGGTGCTGGAGCGCAGCCGTCAGTCAAGCGGGGGCGGGGACGAGCCAGGTCCTATGCCAATCACCAGAGACTGGGCGGGAGCTGGAGGGGTCCAGCTCCGCCATAGGCAAAATACTGAGGAGGGCGGAGGTTCTGGACAACCAATTGCAAAGAGAAAAAGCGATATTCTTTATAAGGGAGAAGCTTAGCTTGGGCGCTTCTTTGGGAGTCCTGTGGGGAGTATTGGAAAGCAAGGCGGACTCCTGGAACGAAGCTTGTATGTGTGTGGAGGGGGGAGCGGGAGGAACGGCGGGCGGAAGGCCTGGATGCCAGGCTGAGGAGAATTGTGGACAGTTGTAAGAGGATTCTTAGGGATCATTTGTCCGACGCCTTCGTTTTATAGATGTAGATGAGGAAACAGATAAGTTATGTGACTTGTCCAAGATCACATGCAATGCGCGGTGGAGCTAAAACCAGGAAAGAATACATTTCATGAGCATACACTTACTATATGTCAGACACTGCGCAATGTACTTTAGTGCATTGTCTTATTTAATAATCACAATGACTAACTAGATTTTATTATTTTACAGATAAGGAAATGGCCACTCAGAGAGGCTGGATAAATTGCCCAAAATTAAAGCTAGGAGATGGCAAAGAGGGGTTCAGACATAGGCCTTCTGATTCCCAATATTGTGATCTTTTCGTTATACCATGCATCGTTAGGTAATTTTCTGATTTTACCTATTCTAAGTTGGGGGAAACCGTGAGAAAGAGTGGAATGGGCTGCTCCCTTACCTCCCGTTAGAGTGAGAAAGTACTAGAATATATGCAGAAACCAGAAAACTGAGAAGTCTAGGGGGCAGATTAAGACAGTTATCCTGTTCATAACCTGTCAGGCTGGGTTCCTCCGATTACTCTTACACACACATATGCACACAGATACACACGACACGTCCTTTGTCAGTTGACCATCATGCCTTTCTTACCTAGGTGAAGTTATACTACTTTTCTCTCTCTCTCTCTCTCTCTCTCTCTCTCTCTCTCTTTCCTCACTGTGCCGTGGCTCAGGATGGGGAAATAAAAGAAGTAGAAAAAAATGGGGGCAGCTGGCTGGCTCAGTCAGAAAAGCATGTTACTCGTGATCTCGGGGTTGTGAGTTCGGGCCTCACTTTGTGTGTAGAGATTACATAAATAAAAACTTTTTTAAAAAGTAGAAAGTAGAAAGTAGAAAAAAAAGTAGAAAAAAAATGGATGAAATGCACCTGGTGAGATGAAAATTAGAACCCCAAGGAATAACCGGGAATGGTCACAAAATAAGAAGCGTGAAAGAGGGGCAGTCAATCTACTGAGATATATTTGTTGATAGTGGACCGAGGTAATTTTTGTAGGAGGTACTTTCGTAGAAATCTTAAGTTAAAGAATTTGAGGATGGACATAGGGGAGACTGAGCGAATGAAAGCCTGTCAAATGCCTTAAAACCTTCAGGACACAGGACACTTGTCTTTTCTTCTGCAACCACAGCTGGTCAGTTGGTCTCCTGCAAAGAAGGTGACTGGAACCTCTAAGTATCCCCTAGATCATTAGAGCTATAGTGAGCATCGTCCTCCCTCCCCATTCCTCATTCCCCATACCCCACACCCTCAGGCAGAAGTGACAAAACAGAGACTTCTGAACACATTTATTTGATTTGCCAAGTGGAGAGAGGAGTGATTTAGGGTTACTCCCCACTTCTACCTGTGGGGGGTGTTCATAAGCTCAGACAGACAGAAGAGCAGCATAGAGCCCATGACCCACTCCCTGGGAAAATGAGACAACCTCCTGTATTGGTTGGGGGAACAAGGTGGGAATAAAAAGCAGGAAGTTGAGAAGTAAAGCTGAGAGCAGGAAGGGCAGCAGCAGAACTGAAGCTGAGGGTTGCTGCAGGAAAACCCCAAGGAGGGTGAAGAAGATATCCTGAAAAGTGGTTAGGGCTGGAAGCAGGGTGTGAACAAGGAGCCAGGCCTGGAGAGAGAAGCAAGACCTACACAACGGGTTGGGATATCCAGGAAGAGGGCAGAGTGTGCAAAGTCGTGAACGGGCTGTGTTGCAGGGCATACATGGAAAGCAGGGGATTGCTTCTGCAAAAGGGCAAAGAGATTGGAGACTATCCATAAGTAGGGGTTCCCTACGGCTTCTGAACAAATGCAAGTGACTTTGGGACCCACTTGGGGCCCTAGCACAAGTGGCCCTGTGTGTGCCATTCCTATGGATGGGTACACAAGTATTCCCATATGCATGTGAAGTGACCAGGACATGAATGCACGTGTCTATATGCCCAGTAGAGAGAGTACTTACCCTTCCCTGCGAATAAGAGTACTGTGCTTGTGGACACTTTTTTACCCATGTGTGCGTGCACGGTGCCCAAGAGCACAGGCAAAAGACCCCGATGTCCGTGGTGTGTGTGTGAGCTGGTTCTCCCACCTGTCCCATCAAGGTCCTGATCCCCACCCTCCTTGGTTCCTCTCACTCCTCTCAGCGCCCTGGCTCCCCTGGCCCGCCTAGACTCTGGAAGCCCCCTAGCAGGCGGATCTGCTCAGTCTGCATGGAGTGGCGCCTCACCAACTTGCGCTTGGTCCTGGGAGAGCCTGGCGCGCCCGCCTGCGGAGGGGCGGGCAGCGAAGGCGCCCGACCTCCGGGTTGGGGGCGAATGTCGGGGATGGGAGGGTGGGGGCTGACGTTGAGTGGAGGCAGGAAACCCGGCCGCGTTTGCGCGATGTGGTCCAGGAGCAACGTCCCCGAGCCCCTCCGCTCCAGCAGCCCGGGACTCCGCCTCCGTCCGCTCAGCGGAGATACAGCCCCTGGCAGACTCTCCTGGGACTGGCGCGGGGAGGGAGCCGAGCCGGCTGGAGGGAGGGTCAGCGGGGAGGCGCTGTATCGCCGGCGCTCCAGGGATAAGCGGCTGCACTCCGGCGAGTCGGGGCAAATATTTCCGGGGGTATCGAGCTCCACCGACTCCATGCGGCTCAGTTTCTGCCTCAGACCTGAAGGGGCACCAGACTCCTGAGCTTCTGGCGCAGTGTTTCGGCGAGAGAGAGAACCCCCACCCGTCACTTTCTCCGCCCACGGGGGCGGATCCTCCGGACCTTCCGTGCTGTGACGTCTGGAAAGACGGGGTCGACCGGTCAGAGTCAGGCCGTTGAATTCCGCGGTCAGGCGCTCGATCCCCGGCCTCCCTTCCGCGGGTGGGACCGGTTGAGGAGGAGCCACGAGGCCCCAGGGCTCGGAGTTGAGCCTTTTGAGTGGTTTTGGAGGGTGACGGGGTGGTTTGGGGAGCGGCTCAGAAGGGGAGGGGTCATCAGGGGGCTTAGGAAGAGGAAATTCGAATACGTCCCGCTTCTCCTCTTCTTCCTGAGCGCGAGGGGATAGCGATCCCCGTCCTCCTCCTCCTCCTGCAGCCTGCAGTTGGATTTCGGAAGGCGACGTGCAGACCCCGGGGCTGGGAGGAGCGGGAGCAGGGTCCTCCACCCCCGGGGACGGTGGGGAATTGAGATACTGCCGAGTCTTCTTGGTTCCCGAGGGCGAGGTGTCGGTGGTGATAATGATGACCTCCGTGCCCTTGGCCTTACAGGCGTCCAGCAGCGTGGCAAGGGTCTCGCGGTCCCCACGGTCCAGGGCGTGGACAAGCGCCGAGGCGCCCGCGTGATCGCGCACTGAGGGGTCTGCACCGTGAGCAAGTAGCAGCGAGGCCACGGCGGCGCCCCCACCCCCGGCGCAGGCGTGCATCAGCGCGGTGCGCCCCAGGCGGTCTGCGATGTTAGGGTCCGCGCCTTGCTCCAGGAGGTAGCGTACCATGCGCGCCTTGTTCTGGGGGTCGTCGTAACGGGCCCGACAGGCCGCCATTAGCGCAGTCTCCCCCTGGGCATCACCCTCATTCACGTAGGCGCCTCCCTCCAGAAGCAAACGGGCCAAGCGTAGCTTACCCTGACCCACGGCCCGAAGAAGAGCGTGGCCCTCGGTGTGCAGCATAGCTGCGGCAGGGGCGAGAGCACCAATGGAGCCGGGACTGGGGCCCGCCGAGGATGTCTAGGGACGTGGGGGTGGTGGCTGGCGGAGGCCTGAGGGCTCAGTGGCGAAGCCAATCCCTGCGAGAAAGAGAGAGATCTTATTGACGGATTCAGGCAGGGAAACTGAGGCACCGGTGGAGGGAGACGGCGTGGGGAGATCTCCACGGCATGGCACGGCACGGCACACAGTCCTTCCTCTAACTCATGCCTTTGAGCCGCCCCCTCCCCCCAGCGCATGCCTGAGGAGGTGGGAAGGGTGCACCCGCATTGAAGGACGAGCGCGCGTGCAAATGCGTACGTGCACGCGCAGGAATACCGCACCCCCACCCTCACCCCACGGCTTATCAGACCTTTCCAGCATCCCCCTTTTCTTATCCGCACTTGGAATACCCCTTTCTAGGATGCTGAACGCCACCCACCCACACACATGCACCCATACATTCACACACATAATTCCCATTCCTAACCTCTTTTAGGTTGCCACAGCCCCAAATATTGAGTGGGGGGAGGGAAGCAGCTTGCATTTGGGACCTAAAACGGGTGGGGGGAGAATTGGGGGTTTCTTTTGCCCCTGCTATGTTCCCCATCACTCCTTGCTCTTTCCCTCCCAGGCTGTGCGCCCAAATAGATACCTGAATGTCCGCAGGATCTCCGCCGGGCCAGGACTGAGGCCAGGGCCATGGGGCAGCCTAGGTGGCGGAGCTGGGTTCCCGGGGGCCCACATGGCGTGGGGAGGGGCACCCGGATTCCCTTGGTGTCAGTATCTGCGCCCGGGCACCGGATCCTGGTCCCTCCTCCCGGTGCGCCCCGGGCAAGGCGCCGGCTCCGGAGGAGAGAAGCTGGGGGGGGGGGGGGGGGGGCGGAGCTCTACCTTGCTATTTATAGCCTAGTCTCTGCGGGTGGGGGCGTCGGGCACCAAACCGTTCCCCCACCCATGCACACATAAAGCCTCAAAACCTAGAGGCTCCAATCCTGACTTCTCTTGCTTAGCCGACCTCCCCTCAGCCCCAACAAACCTAAATGTTTCTTAGGAGACTCCTCCGCGACCCAGACTGGGACCATCCCAATTCTTCGTTGAGCAGAGCCCCGTTCTCCGCGCTAGATGTGTTTATGCGCCTCTGGGCGCCAGATCTGACCTGCCACACACAGCACATGGCACACTGTGCAGAGGGGTGGAGAGAGGAGATTGGGATCCACAGCCGGAGTCCATACTGCGCAGAGAGAGCAAGAGATCTGGCTGCCTCCTTGTAGTCTACATGTCAGGGAGAGCTGGAGCCAGACGCAGCGGTACATCCTCACTCCATCTCCGCCCAAACGGAACACACAGCACAGATAAACTTGAACCTCAGATCCCTTGTACAGACCTCAGATAAGTATGAGGAGAGTGGATATACTGGGTCATTTTTAGCTACACCAGGTGGCATTCCCAGATGCCTTCCTCCCCATATTCTTGGAGGGGGAGAGGGAGAGAGAAAAGGGGCAGAGAGAAGAGCGAACCTTGTAACACATCCCTTTCTCATTGCATCTCTTTACACTCAGTCTTGCTTAGACTCATTATTTTTCCACGTTGTTGAAGGTCTCTGTCCAATCGCTCCCTAAGTATTCTCTCTTCCTATCTGTCGCAATCATAATGGGTCTCTCTGCTGCCTGTCTCTGCCTCTCCTTGCCACCTGCCCTGTCTCCATGGTTACCATAGCTTCCATCTGCATATTTTAGGAAGGAGTTTGTGTCCAGCTGGAAGGCATGAGGGGAAGTGGAAGATGAGGGGAAAAAATCCCAAGGATTTGGAAAACTCACCTGAGATAATTCAGACTGGAAGCCACCAGACACAAGATACCAAAAATAACGTTTCTGGAGAAGGAGGGGGAGAAATATTGCAGGGAACCTACCCATTTTTACTAGCTACCATTTGTTGGACACCAACTATATGCTAAGTACTTCACATACGTTATTTCAAATCCTCAGAACAATGCTGTAAGGTAGGAATCTCCTTGATATAGATGAAGAAACTGAGACTTAATAAAGTTAAGCAAGTTCTCCAAAGCCTCACAGCTCTGTTTCTATCCTACTCCAAAGACTGCGGGTCTTGCCACTACACCTCCAGCCTTCCACGTCCAGAGGCTTCACTCCCAGGGCCATTTTCTCTGACATGTGGGATAGTCTTCCTGACTAACTCCTAGGTTTTATCACCACTCTGAATTATTCTTTCCCTCTATTTCTGGGGTTGTTTTTGTGGGGTGTGTGTGTATGAAAGTAGGATTCCTCTCCACCACTGCCCCCCATTCACCCTCGCCACCGTGCCCCCCTTCACCAAGGGCTAGAAGGAGCTGGAAGGCAATAGAAAATGCAGGAAACACTGGGCTTCTGTCCTGCCTCCCCAACTCTGGTTCTCTGATTCCTAATCGTTCCTTCCTCAAACTTTCCTCCCATCTCACAGACATGGCAGCAACACTTGGGGGGTGGGGTGGGGAAGAAAATAGAAAAGAAGTATTCATTGGTGGTGCTGGAGGGAAGCAGTGTAGGACTAGAGGGAAGGTTGGAGTAATGGAGGGGCCAGGCTGGGAAGCCCAAGTCCCAAAAAGACTCATCCCTAACGAACAACACTTTCATTTATCTGTGGGAGCTTCCTCAACAGAGTCCCTCGGTGAGATCTAAGTGTCAGGTTCCCTCTGTGGACTCTCGCTAGCCAGGAGCTCCCCCATCTGAGATAAGGTCGGAAATAACCGACCCCTGATTCATTTTCCAACCCCATCTCCCTTCGCGCCGCGCGGGGCTTCCCGAGCCTGGGTTCCGGCTGACTCTCCCCCTCCCTACCTCTCCTCGGCTTCAAGTGGGCGGATCTCCCTCCTCTTCTTCTCCTAGATTGGCCGGGAGAACTCACCAATGGGGAGCTCTGAGAGGCGGACCTACAGCGCCAGCAGCTAGAGGAAGACCAGCAAATTTCAAGTTGGCTGCGACGTGAGCTCCGCGCCGGGGAGGGGCAGCAGGTAAGGCTCCGTCCTGGTGGCTCTGACCTGGTTCTGTCCCACAACTCCCGAACTAGCTCGCCAGGGCCGAGCTGCGAGATAGATAGACAACGCTTTCCGGCAGCCTGTTGGATCTAGCCCTCTCTGGTTTCCTACTCTTCTTTCCCTTTCTTTTCAGGGCTCCCATTGCTGTACTGATTGTATACGAGAGAACTGCAGTTTTCTTTCGTGCATAGGGGAGAGGCGTTAAAGCACAAAGTGAGGAAGGCTCACTCTTGTATCTCTGACTCTTTGCTATGGCATCAGCTTCCCCCGAATCTATTCGTATTATTCCCTTGTCTGAGTCTGACAAACTCCTGTTATCTATCAGGACTTAGCTGAAATATTACCTCCTACCTGTAGCTTTCCTGGACTATCTTTTTCTTCTTTTTCTTTCTTTCTTTCTTTCTTTCTTTCTTTCTTTCTTTCTTTCTTTCTTTCTTTCTTTC